AAGGTAAAGGCCCTCCCGTTGATCGTCGATTTGCTCGAGCGGGCCCAGTAACGTCTCCATTGGAGATTTTGTTGTTACTGTGTCTGGCATATCGAATACTCTCGGTAGCTTGCCGGGCTCTCCGAGAGGAGCGGAGGAATCGAACTCGGGTCGGCCATGTTGGCCGCTTGTAAGGCGAACGCCCTACCCGCTGTGCTATCGCTCCAGCCCAGATAAAGGTAATTGAAGCAATGCCAACAATGAAAACTTTTACAAGTGGCAAAGGGCTATAAACGAATTAGTGTGAGTTTGGAAGAATGTCTAATTATGTGGGGACATATTTGCAATCCAACAGTTATATCTGTTACATTTTTTAAAATGTATGAAGGTGTAAGTCGAGTGAAATATACACCTTAGGAAAATGATGGGAAGAATCAAAATAATATGAGTGACAATTCATACAGGGCAATTAAATTATCTATGCTTAAAAAATGTCCTCGATTCATCACAAGCATTTAATTAATATATTTTGACCACACCCAGAAGTGCTCAGGTCTTACTCCTTCCACTCCCTGGAGGATTTGAGAGACCAGATGCAGTGTCAGGGATCAAACATGCAAAGGAAGGGTGCTATTCGCTGCACTATGTGCCTGACCCCTTCGTGAAATATGATATTTTCACATCTCATTTTCATCTAGATTTTTTAAGGCTTTTAAATGAAAATGTACTATGTGCTAGGCACTGCTCTGGGAAACTAACTCATTTAATCTGCACAACAATTTCTTTTTTTTTTCTACGAAAAGATGGAGTGATAGCACAGCGGGTAGGGCGTTTGCCTTGCACGGGGCCGACCTGGCCAACCCAGGTTCGATTCCTCTGTCCCTCTCGGAGAGCCCCGCTAGCTACCGAGAGTATCACATCCGCACGGCAAAGCCTGGAAAGCTACCCGTGACATATTTGATATGCCAAAACAGTAACAAGTGTCACAATGGAAATGTTACTGGGCCTGCTCGAGCAATTCCATGAACAACGGAAGGACAGTGACAGTGGTGGAAAGATGGAAAAATCAAAGTCTAGAGAAGTGAATCAGTGTTCAGAGTCATGGAATAAGTTGCTAAGCGAGTCATAAAATATTATTAGAAATAAATACTTATTTAAAAATAAATACTGTGAAGATTGGCCAAGTCTGTGCTTGGATTCCTTCTTAAGTTCTCAACCAGTTTTTAAAGTCGAGTAGGAGAAACTTTATGCTTGGAGCTTTTATCCTGCTGGGATCAACAGGAGCAGTTACTCATAAAACGTCTCAGCATGCTTCAAAATGTGGCTTAAAAGGGGTACACATTTTAGCTGACTATTCAAAGCACTGAGCATCTATAAATAAATGTCAGACAAGATTATTCAATATACATGATTCTTAAATATCTGTGCTTCCACTTTTTTTGGCTTTTTGGGTCACACCCAGCGATGTACAGGGGTTACTCCTGGCTCTGCACTCAGGAATTACCCCTGGCGGTGCTCAGGGGACCGTATGGAATGCTGGAAATCGAACCCGACTTGGCCGCGTGCAAGGCAAACGCTCTACCTGCTATGCTACTGCTCCAGCCCCAGTGCTTCCACTTTAAAAAAAATTTGCTGTACCCTTATTTTCATCCAACGTAACTTCTCATTCAGTTAATCCCATTTACTACATTCATTATTATAGGACCACAACTTGGTCCCTCTCTGGGTCTCCTGAAAGGCTGTAATTCATTCTGTAATCAGGAGGGGGCAGCAGTGTTGGAAATTTGAGATGTCTCTAAATCCCAGATGTACATTCACCTTTTCTATTCCTATGGTCAAATTCTCGAGACTACATTTCACTTTCTAGTCCTTGGGGGGGGGGGGGGGGGGTGTCTTCTTCACCATCTATAAAGCACATCTTTAGTCCAAATCTCCCTCTAGCATGACCTATGTTTTCGCTCTCAGATTATCTTCATCAGCATATAAACACACTCTGTGGATTTTGGTATGAAGACAAACAAGTAAGCAAAATTTGAAAAACACCCAATCTTGCTTGACCTTTTCCTGCTCACCCCCTTCTTCCATCTCCCCCTACACACACACACACACACACACACACACATACACACACACACACACACATCCCTTTCCTGGTATCAGCCCACTGCACTCTTGGTATTGGAGCTGACATTTCCTGATGTCATCATTATTTTTTGCTTCTCTTTCCTTCCCATATTTTGAAAACTTTTCTCAACTCATTCTATTTAATATTCATCTTTCCAGGTCCCCTCATTTCGCTTGCTAAAAAATCACCAGTGACACCCACAATTTTAAAACCCAGTGGTTAAAGAACCCTGCCTTTATCTGACCAGACAGAGAAGCAGTGAATAGGGCTGTGATATAATGACCCCGACTGATAAAGGAGTGGGGTTACTGAGATCAAGCACTAATTTGTTGATTAAGAAGCAACTACATGTTTATAAAGACAGAGATAAAGAGACATGCAAAAGATAGGGGCAGATAAAACCTGGCTGTCCCTAACTTAGGCCCCACCTGTATCAAAATTAACTGCTGGAGGCCAGAGAGATAGCACAGTAGGTAGAGCACTTGCCTTGCACACGGCTGACCTGGGTTCGACCCCTGTATCCAAGCCTTACCAGGAGTGATCTATGAGTGCAGAGCCAGGAATAAGTCCTGAGCATCACCAGGTGTGGCCCCAACCCCCTGGAAATAAACAAAATTAATAGGTGCTTCTGATAGCATACCCCAGGAATATTTATAAATATAGGGCTAAAATTAAGTCACTCTGAAGTCATCTTTGGTTTTGGACAAAACCTTGCCCAGTCTGCAAATTATGCTATATGGAACTCTCTTGTTGCAACCAGTGCTCACCTTCTGCACCTCCTTTTACTGGACTGAACCCTTCCCCTGGGACTATCAATTAAATTCAGTGCTTATATTGTTACTATGTAGACTCCACCTCACCCCGCCTCAAATCATTGAATTGTATGTTGTCAGCTTGCTTCATTAACGAAATCTCAACATCTAGGTGGGATTTAGTCATTTTGAGATCAAACCTCATAAGACTACTATGTGTCTACCTTTACTATTAGGATGGAAAGTTCTTGATATCAAGGGTTATATCCTTGCACCTCTTTATGTGGCACATAGTAGGGGCTTCATGAATACTTGTTGAATTAGTTAAAGCAAATATGATTTTACTTAACACTTAGAGTATAAAAGCAACACATAGAAATCCCTCACATTTCTAGCAGCTGAAAGCATATAAAGCATTTAATTTTGAAGTTTCTATCTAAATATTTATTTGAAAGATAAATCTCATCATCATTGGCAAATATATTTTATAGAAGTTTGAGTTCTTTAAATTGTATTCTAAAATGCATCAAGAAATGTATTGTACAGTCACCATGACTAATACTGCTTATTTTTTTAATGTTAATATTACTTGTCATTCTTTTTCTAGTTTGTCATTCTCTAAGTATTGTGTGACATAGTAATTTAGAATTGGGGCCTTGTAGCAATAGAACCTGGATAATTCAAATCCTCCTGTGAGGAGATTTTATATATTTTTTGGATCATATCTAGTAGTGCTTAGTAATTACTTCTGGCTCTGTGCTCAGGGATCACTTTTGGTGGAGCTCAGAAGACCATATATGATACCAGGGATTGAATCTGGGAATATCAAATGCTACACAAGCGCATCACTTGCTGTATCATCTCTATTACCCTTTTTTAAGGCTCTCCATGAATACTTTTAACCAACTTGTGACTCTCTTTACTCATTTTTTTTCAAAAAGCAATACTAATAACAGTGATGTTTAAGTTATTGTGTCCTATGCATAGTCCTAAGTGTCCTGTGAGTTATTAAACTCCGAATGCTGGATTTATTTACAGGACAAGGCCATTTAAGGATCTCATAGATGTCAGCTTTCAAAGACATTGCAGAGGATTCATTTATTGAAAGCATAGGTACAACATCTAGTCAGCTGATTTTAACAGTTGTTTCTTAAATTTTTTAGTCTTAAAGTTGTTATAAGTGAAAACTCACATCTTGATCACTCATATATTGTTTTCTTTAAATAACAAAATGTGGTGGTGTTATGTAGTTTTTTAAAAGGTGGTAAAATGAAGACTAAGGAATAGAGATTTCAAGAATTTTCATCTATTAAATTTTAGATTTTGGATTTTGAAAAGCAATTTAAAAAATTGCTTAAAAAGGTTAGATTTTGAAAAGCAATTTTAACGATGTTTCAAAAATACTATTTTAAAAATCAACCAATTAATGTGACACTTAATAAATCTAAGGAATTAGGAATAATATGATCACTAGTGCTGAACATACTTTCACCTTAAAATTATTGATGTTAATAAAATTTCAAATTGCTATTAAACAGCAATAATAATGTGGAACTATACTTTGATATTAAATTTTACAAGATGAAACTTGCCAAAACAATCGAAAAATAGAAATAGTCTACCCATTACATTCATTCTTTTTAATACAATATTGTCCTTAAGGTTTTTTTTAACCTAGTAATTACAAATTCATAGAACACTTGGAAGAAATAACAGTCTTAACAAAGGAGAAAAATTCCAGAATAAAAAAATGAGAACATTTAAAAATAGTCTATCACTTAAAATTCCCATGAATGATTTCCTAAGTCATTTCAAACTCTGGTTGATAGCAAAAATCCTTCCATTGCATTCTCATACTCTATTCACTAGGGAATGATCAAAATAAGAAAAAATACTTTATAAAACTAAATTCAAGTCCATATAGAGCTGTGTTTAAGTATAAAGGCACAAATACTGACATGAAACACAGCTGATATACATCTAAGTATCAGCACTGTTATTAATTAAAATTTATCATTAATTTGTTAATAAATTTCCACAAAAGCGGTTTGCATGATAATGCTCATACTGTTTATATTAGAAAGGCATATCTGCAACGAAGCCCTTCAAGACTCGGCTGTTCCACTTCCCACTCTCCTCCTTACCTTCAATGAACACCTCTGCAGATGTTGTGTCGGAGCCACTGGGGTTTGTAGCGAGACAGGAATAGCGGCCCGTGTCGTCCTCAAAGGCTTCTGCTATGGTCAGGGTGTGCACCCCACCCTCAGCGCGGATTTGAACATCGGGGGTGTTAGACAGCTCTTTGCCTTCACAGAACCATCTGCATCCCCAATGGAGGTCAAAGAACAGGGGAGAAAGGGAGAAGATGACAATGTTTAAAATTCTATGGCAGGAGTGAAACACAAAATGCTATGTCGTCAGAGGCTTAATTTGTTTTTAAAAAGATCTGTATCAATCCTTTATATAAAAGTTAACTCAAAATGGATTAAAAACTGAGATGTTAGGCCTGAAGCTGTAAAATACAGCAACGAAAACACTGGTGTGTCAGTGCTGTCTTCAGTGCTCCAACTCCACTGGCAAGCAAAAGCAAAGCAAAAATAAGCAAACGGGACTACGTAAAACTAAAAGCTTCTGAACTGCCAAAAAAAAAAAAACTACCACTAAAACAAAATAACATCCTATGGAATGGGAATAAATATTTGCACACCATATATCTGACAAAGGGCTAGTGTCCAAAATACATAAAGCACCTCAAAATTCAACAATAAAAATAAATAATCCCATCCAAAAAAAGGGGGTGGGGGGTTAAGAAAGAAACAGTCTTCTCTAAACACGAATACAGATGGCCAAAACGGATATTAAAAAATATTCATGATGACTGTTATCAGGGAAGTACAAATAAACACAACTGAGAAAACCATCTCATATGAATGAAGATTATATATATTATATAGATACAGGAGAGATATTACAGCAGGAGGACACTTGCATTGCACACAGCTATCCTGGATTGCTTCCTGATTAACACCCCATATGGTTCCCTGAACTTTGCCCGGGTGATCCCTGAGTACCACCTGTGTGGTCCAAGAGCAAAAAACAACCAACCAGACAAAAACCCCAATCAGAAGCAACTAGTTCTGTTGTACTAGTTGTATATCTTTTCTCAAAAAATTAAAAACAGAACACACTTATTGTCCAGCAAATCCACTCTTAGATACTTATCTAAAAACATAAAAATATGAATACAAAAAAGTACTGGACACATTTTCACTGCAGCAGTATTAATAGTAGCCCAAATCTGGAAACAACTCAACTGCTCAATGACAGATGAGTGGCTAAAGATATGATATATATATATATATAATTAAAGGCTAGTCAGCTATTAGAACGGGTATAACATGAATAGAATTTAAGGGAGCCATGTTAGGTAAAAGAAGTCAGAAGGAGAAAGACAAATGCTGGATAGAATCATATGAGAGAGAGAGAGAGACAGAAATACAGCAAGGGAGTAGGCAATTTCCAATGGATACAAAGTCTTCTACCGTGACCTTAAAAGTGATTTCCAAGGTACAGATGGTTGAAAAAGTCAGACTATGGTAGAGTGATATTGACACTTTGGTGATGAGAGTACTGAAAAAAGAGGTACATCAAATGGACCTCTAAAACAATAAGTACTTGAGCTCTTAAAAACCAATGTTACCACAATAAATTAAAAATACAAAAAGGTTAAGTTTAAAGATAATTTGAAAAAAATAATAAAACAGCATAAATAATTCCTCCCCCGCCAAAAAAAAAGTTCAGAAAAAAACTGAATTTCTCCAAACCAGGATGACTCACCTGAGTCACTTGACTGGCTTTGAAATCGAAAGAAAGTCAGATTGTTACTGATGTAAGTACCTGTCAAGTGACCACTTCTATGTTGTTAAAAGGTGGTAATACGGGTATAATTTAAGAGGGAGGGAAAAAAAATCCTGCAAATATTTAGACGGCAGCCTCCCTATATCAACAAAAAGGGTAGCATGGTTCCTGGCTAGGATGTAGATAAATGCATGTTTAATTTGTGATTTGAACCATTTGCACAATGGATCTAGCAATGGCCCAGCAAAGACACTCAGTTATTACTTTACGGAAGTGCCAAAGCCTTCCTGGTTCAGGTTCTTCATCTGCATGAGGAGGAGAGATTCCCTCGCTATAAAGTTTCATGACTTAGGTTTCTGGTGGAATAAAAGGGTTGTACATGCAATGGTTGTATTTAAAATATTCCAAGAGACAATGAAGAGAACTCTGATGAAAGGTACAAGTAAATCAATGGCTTCACTTTTTTGAAAACTATTAGGATATCCTCGTGTTCCTGAGGCAATCCACCCACACTGGGGGCTTCCGTGTCTTCCTGGATTTAGCACCTTGTCTTCCAGCCGAACAGCTCTCCTCTCAACTTTCTATGTCCTACTGAATATGAGTGCTTCATAGGCCTTTCTATTCTCCCTGGATGTAACATGTCCCAGGGTAGAAGCCCTGGTCTTTTTTTTTTAACTTGGTCACTAACTGCATCAGCTTGCTTCGTGTTCCAACACAATGCTTGGATATGGAACATATTAAATAGGTTTTTGGTTTTTTTTTCAAAATTGCTATATTTCTGAAGCTTTGACATCTGGGGTTTTACTGACCCTGGAGAGGCTGCCTGCCCAGCACTAGCCAACTCAGAGTTAGTAACTGGCTCTCTTTCAAGCACTCCTTCGCATGAAAAGAACCAGCATCTACCTCGCCTCCTCTATCCAGTGCTGCCACCCTAATCACCCCGAAACCAGGTAGAGGGAAAACAGGGATAACCTCTATACCCCAGAGCTTGCCTGCTGAAATGATTCAGACTAGTGAGCCTTAAATCTGCTGCCTCTGCTTCATCTGCTCCTTCCTGTGGAAATCACAAGAAAGATTCTGCATATATTTCCTTCCCCTTCCCCTTGGGCTCCGGGGCCACCATGGGGCTTGCTTTGTGGTCCTTCCTTGTGGTATGGCATATCCTTCCCTCCTCTTGGGAACTCAAACTTTTCCTTCCTTCCTTCCTTCCTTCCTTCCTTCCTTCCTTCCTTCCTTCCTTCCTTCCTTCCTCCCTCCCTCCCTCCCTTCCTTCCTTCCTTCCTTTCTTCCTCACTCTCTCCCTCCTCTCCTCTCTTAACCCCTCCCTACCCTTTTCTTTCTTTTCTTTTGTTTTACAATAGTACCAATATGACGTATACCTGAAGCGCCACAATGAAAATGCCAAGATTCTTACACTATTATTCTAAGCTCCCCCATCCCCACCCCTTCATCCCCAAGAATATCCAGATCACAGTTCTATTGGCTCTATCTCAGGTTTGTTCCTATTTGGGGGGGGGGTCAAAGCTCAGGGCTTTCTCTTGGCTTTGTATGCAGGGGTCACTCCTTATGGTTCTTGAAGGACCATATATGGTGCTAGGGATCAAGCCCAGGTGTGCTGAGTGGAAGCACCCTACTGGCTGTACTATCACTATGGCCCCCACAGACATTTGTTTTCAGTATCTTCTGATCTCTTAGCCTCATCAAGTTTGAATAATAATCAAACCTTACTTTTAAAACATTGAAATAATAAAAAATAAGCTTATAAATGAAGGATTGATCATATAAACAATTCAACTCATACTTAACAAGTATGAGTTAACCTTTATATACATAAGTGATAAGTTTGTCACTGCCACCAAATTGATGTGCACTTAAAAACTTAAAAAGATGTCAACTTAAACACAAAATAATTTGCTTAATTCATGTGTCAAAGGAAAATGTTAACCTTTTCTATTCTTTATGTAGCAAGACTAATGATCTTAGTTAACTTATTAGTTAACTGTTGAGGTTGTTACTTAAGTGATGAGCTTTTTGGTTAACAGATCAGATTCTCAATGGAGATGTATGTTGGCTAGATCAGATTTGCTATAGTTGTTTTTGCTTTGTCAAATTTATTAATGGTCATAATTCTATCATTTCCTGACAAAGGACTAAAAAATGCATACTCCTTAAGAAGAATTGTGAAAGTCAGACCTGTCAATTTTGACCACCCAAAATTTTTCCTATATTAAATCCTTATTGCAGTGCAACTTAGGAAAAGTAGTGCTTATGTGACAAGGAACGCTTGCAAAGTAGGACAAAGTACAGGTTTGGTAAATACTCAGCCCAGGGATGGTTTTCATCCTTCCTTATCTATGGCAGACAACACTAATGGATCAGAATGTACTGAACTAGTGAAAGGGAAAGTATCAGAACCATGGTATGTACCTACAAGCAGACTTCAAGCTGAGAGAAAGTAAAATCTGCAATGAAACACATTAGCCAGCCTCAATTTAGCTTCCTCCTAGAACATACATTCTCCTTTTCTTCTAGATCCTGAAAGCTCTTATTTACATGAGTTAGAGTAGAGACCAGAGCCCTTGAGTTGCATGCAGCTGACTAGGGTTCAATTCCTGGTACTTATATATACATCACACCCAAACCCTCCTCAAGAATCCCTAAGCAGAGAACCAGGAGTAAGCCCTGGGCATTGAAGGATGTGGCTCCCAAACAAAACAATACAAAACAAACAAAAAAACTGAAGGATAGAAGCCAGAGGACTAGCTCAAGAGGCATGGATGAGGCTTAGTTACAACCCCAGGCACTGTGTTGTGTCCACAACACCATGGGCAACTTATTCTGAGCTCAGAGACTTGAGCAGTCCCTGAGCACTGTTCAGTACTCTCCCCCTTCAAAAAAACCAAAAAGTCGACAGAACATTTAGGAAAGAGGAAAAAGTATAGAAGGCTAGAATGTGGCTAATACAGTCTACTTAAGTAAAGTTCCTCTTGAGGACACCCTGAACCCTATTTCACTCTATTTCTAATACCTAAAAATCATTTATCTAATGACTTACATACAGGATAGTAGATGGAAAATCAGCACCAATTACCAATATTCTTATACTGTATCTCTAACAAATTGAAACTTATTTATACTTTAATTTTTCTACTAAAAATGGCTAAAATATATAATGACAACCTCATGATTAGGATGTTTACAATATTTGGGAACCACAAACATTACTTTTGGGGGCTTCCCAAACAATGCTCAGGTGGCCAGGGGTTACTTCCTAATGATTCTTGGCCAACTGGGCCTGCATTTTAATAGATGCTGAGCTTGGACCTAGAAATGTTGGGGATAATCAGGCAACATCAGCAGTGGGAGGGACTTCCAGAGCCACAATATTTAGTGCTTGAAGGCCTCCACAGCTGCACCCCTAGATACTTGGGGACCACATGGTTATCACGATCACATGCAAGG